TGCAAAACCCTTCATGTGAGACGAAAAGTTTTGTTTCTATCAAATTGTTCATATCAAAGGAGGGTTCGGGTTTCTCGAAAGAGGAATCTTTAGTTTTTCCTTTTAATTTTCTAAATTAAGCGCAAAAATTGAAGTGTACAATCCTGTAAATTTTACAGTATATTGTCGATCTACAATGTATGATATCGCCACAGGGATAGTCTAAGCAAGGGTCCAAACCTTAATAGCGTAGGATAAAAGTTAACAGGCCATCAACGAAATTAAAAAATCCTGAAGTAGACTACGAATTAAACCTCTGATGTGCGACGAAGTATTTAATCTGCGTCTAAATTTTTATGTTAAGACAGGGTTTCAGCATCTTTGAAGTAGAAATCTAGTATTTTCTTCTAAAGAGTTCGTCTGGACAATCATCAATATCTAAAAGACACCGGCCCTTAAAATATGATGATATCAAATCACTACCTATCTAAAACATTATTCTTTCTAGAAAACCTAAGAAAAAAATAAAACAAGTGTACTTACTTTGGTAGGTATGCACTTGGCAGCGATCACCAGTGACACCGGGAGGACATATGCATTTGAAGGTATTGTTTCCATTATCCACACATGTGCCATTGTTGGCACAGGGATATTCTGAACAGGGGTCTAAACCTTAGAAATAAGGATAAAAGTTAAAAGGCCACCTATTAAATATTATTAAAACAAGGTTATGCGGTGTATTTCCCATTACCTCATTTGGCATTTGAATTAGAGGAATGATAAACGTATTTAGTTGGTGGTCGAACTTAGATCATAGGCCTTAAATTACTTGAGGGTAAGAGATGTATGAATCGAAGAGTTAGCAGACGGCATATGTCATGAAATATAAAAGACATATTTCTGAAACTGCGCGTTACCTTCATTCATGGCAGCTTTAATGTCGACTTTATCTTAAAATATGATGATATCCAGTCACCACCTATCTAAAACATTATTCTCTCCAAAAAAACTAAAAAAAAAACAAACAAACAAACTTTAACAAGCCCACTTACTTTGGTACTTACGGACTTCGCAGCGATCACCAGTCACACCGGGAGGACATATGCATTCGAAGGTATTGTTTCCATTATCAACGCAAGTGCCATTGTTGGCACAGGGATATTCTGAACAGGGGTCTAAACCTTAGAAATAAGGATAAAAGTTAAAAGGCCACCCACGAAACTAAAAATTCTTCTTTGTCCGTCCATTTTCCCATTGTTAATTTTACAAACTGTTAAAACAAGATTATGCGGTGTATTTCCCATTACATCATTTGGCCTTAAATTACATGAGGGTAAGAGATGTATGAATCGAAGAGTTAGCAGACGGCACATGTCATGAAA